CCTCCTACCCTCTCCCTGCCTACCAGAGCCACCTTACCAGCCCTTTTGTTCCTCACCGAGCGCAGAGGGAGGCCACTCTGAGCAGGGCCGTCAGGCACGTCTGCAATACCACTGGGCCGTCAGGAACGCCTGCAGTACCACTGGAAGTACCCCAGCCTAGCTCTGGTCAGCTGCCTGCTTGGGAAGGGCCAGCCGTCCCCAAAGGGGAACAGAAACTCTGCCCCATGGCTCAGCAACACAGGTTCCTGCAGAAGGGGGAGCGTCCAAGACGCCATCCCTGGAAGCTCAGAGGCGCAGACGGGGGAAAGCAGAGCCAGGAAGGAAGGGAAATGGGAGTGCCGCAGGCAGAGGGATTCCCTCAGGAACCTCCCTGGCCCACGGATGCCAGGATTAGACAAACAAGCAGCCGAGACAGACAGGGCACTTGCTCATTTGCCGAGGGAAGGGGGCAGGACGCGGCGGAAAGGCTCCTGCTCGCACAGGGACAGGAGTTGGCTGTGTAAATGGAGCGTTATTGAAGGTCTCTCCCCTCAGGGAAGGGACGCGGGTTCCTTCCTCTGGCTGGCACCAGCAGGAGTCTACCACTCATCTAGTGTCCCCCTTGCTGCAGGCAAGCGCCCACATCGACGACACCCCCCAGCCAGCCCCCAATGGCCCTCGTAGCAGAGACTCCCCACTCCCCGTTGGAGCACTCCCCATCTGCCAGCGGGGTTCAGCCCGAGAGGCAGGGCAGTGGGAAGGGGGCATCCCTCCCCCTCCGTGCCCACCCACTGCAAACACGAAGAACAGCAGCCACCTGCGCCCCTTCCTCCCTGGGCCACCCTGCACAAGCAGGCATGGAGCAGCACTGTGCCAGGGAGGTAGACAAGCTGACCGACAGGGGAAGCTAAGTGCTGACTCAGTGGGGACAGAGCCCAGGGTGTCAGCACCCACCTCCCCCAGAACCGGGATAGAACAGCGCACAGGGATGTGGTCCGGAGGCGGGCGCTCCTGCTGTACACCATCCCTGGAAGCTCTCACACCACCACTCAGCCCCTGGCTTCTCTGCTGGCCTGCACACCTCCCCCGGCCTCCCCAATGCCGGTTCCTGTCCCCAGGTCCGACTACCCACACGGCCCAAGCAGGCCACGTCGCCAGGGGAGACACAGGTCCAGCCGGTTCCCTCCCTGCACAAGGCACCAAAAGTGGCCGGGCTGGCCTGAGGGCTGAGGACTGCTGCAGCTCAGCGGTACCTCGAGACAGGCCAGAGGCAGGGAGCACACAGGACGCTACTTGGGCAGCACGGTGCCCGACCAGAGCACAGCAGCGAGCAGGGTGCCAGAGACCAATGCCGTCGGCTCCCCCCACCATGCCAGCTGGGGAAGGCTGCTGCCTGGAGGGCAGGCTGGGAGCCTCCGTGCAGCACGGATGGGTGTTAGCTCGTTGTGGGCCGCTTTGGAGAACGCCTCTGGCCCTCCACCGCCCACAGGGCTTTCTCACCCGAACCATCGTGCTCACTCCCAGTGAGGAGAACTAACACCTGGACCAGCTGGTGGCGGGGGCCCTAAGTAAATGTTTCCAGCACCTGCTCCAGCGCAGAGGGCTCTATCACAGCTCTGCACTGTACGCAAGGGGTGCAAGAGGCAGCGGTGAGGGGCATCCTGGAGGGCTGCCCTCCCACGAGCTGTGCTGCCTAGCACGGCATCTCTCCCGCTCAGAGACTAGCCTTTCCACCACGTGGTCCTGGCTCGACTAGGCAGCGGAGGGGACACTGGACCGGCAGTCAGGCGGTGTAAGTTCCATGCCTGCTCTGGGACAGCCTCTCCCCCAGCCTGTGTCAGTGGAAGGGCCATGTCGAAGAGCTGACATCCCTCTCTGGGCGCTACCACGGATAACGCCCGCGGAAGTGGCCCAAGGACACTGGGCGGGGAGATTAGATGCCCTCTCGAGGTCTCACCAGCCTCTGATGCATCCCAGCATGAGAGCAGCACTCCTGAGGAGCCTGCACACCTGCAAGGAGCAGGCAGACGTTACTAGGAAGGATGACCTCTTGTTTTCCCAGGTGTCTGTGTGGAGATCTGCATATCCTCCAAGATGCACAAAAACCCTTCCCGATCTATTCTAGAATCAGCCCTAACGAGGGACGTATGAATGGCAACACAAGTGCCCCCAGCCACCTCACACATGCCCCGAACCCAACAAGCTGCGAGCACAGCCAAAGCCACGTGTGGTCCTACAAACAAACCAGCAGCACAGACACACTCACCTTCGGAGAGCAAAGACTTAGCAAAAGAGGTGGCAAAACCCACCCTAAGAAAGATCCCTCGCTGCCCCAAGAGTCCTGCCCCACTGGGAGCGAGAGGATGCCGGCATCGGCCATTCGTGGGTGGACAATTACAGATGCCACGGGCCCCTGTCAAAAAGCCAGCAGAGGCAGCACAGCTCAGCCTCTGCTAGTGGCTTCTCACCAGGAGTCTTTGCACAGGCGACATCCAGGCAATAACAAAAGCTACTGGAGTCAAACAATGTTTACTGGACCCTGTGTTTGAGTTTTCAACAGCTCAGAGCACAGCTCAGCACCACACAGACCACCCAGGGGGACGCCATGTGCAGCATCAGACAACACAAACCATCCCTCCCACGCCACCAGCCCCTTACAAATAGAAACCAGAACAACAGGCTGCTGGGTGCAACAGAGCCGTAGCAGGGAGACGTGTTTAAGGGCTCCCACGCAAAACCCCAAACTCCTAACAGACAGTTACAGCTCAACACCCCTCTGGAGTAGTTCTTTGTATTTACAGATGGGAAAACTGTATCAAGGAACTTGCCCAAGGTCACACAGGGCCTTAGACTGAAAGATCCTTGAAAAAAAGGCCTATTTTTTTGTTTTGTGTTTGTACAGTACCCAGCATAATAGTGTCCTAGCCCAATGTTTCTCAACCAGTGGTACAAGTACCCTTGGGATACTCGAGAGAAGTCTGGGGGCTTCGTCAACACAACTGAAATTTGGAGAAAACTGAATTTTTGTTTTAAATTTTACAGCATTTTATTATTTTTTGTACTTCACACCCAAACATTTGTTTAAACAAATGTGTTGCAACGGTAGAAAAAAATTGTGTGTCTGAAAACTGTAGGTACTTTTTTTTTAAAAGGGGGTACTTTATAAATAAAGATTGAGAAACACGGTGCCTAGTCTATAATCGGGCTCTTACACACTACAATAATAAGTAGTAATACACTCTGTTGCAAAGCAAGGCGTACAAACAAGACAAACTGTTTCCAAGTCCCCTATGGCAACTGTTAGATCATTAATCCTTTTTATTTCTCTTTTCCATAATCACTCTAGGTTTAAAATCACTGCAAAAGATTTATTACTACCCCCTGGAAGAGTGTGAAAACCAAAAGAATTTCTAGCTCTGGTTTTGTCACTTACTTGCTGCATGAACGTGACAAGCAGGCTGGTTGGCTTCCCTTCAGCTTCCCCTTATATGCTTTAAGTCAGTTTCACATTGGAGTTCTCACACAAGCATGGTCCTGCAAAGTTTCTGTTGCAAGCGCTGCAGAGGAATACTTCTTAACTGCAGAGCCTTTGCAGGGACTTAGGAAGATTCAGAGATACATTTCTAGTTGTCTGAACTGGGGTAAAACAGAGGGATTGTTCAACAAGTTAAAAAACTAAGGAAACTCTTACTCATATACATGAGCATTCCCTCCTGCAGCTAATCAGAGCAATTACCAATGGCTCTCATTCAAACCAGCACTTAAGCATTTATCACATTCCAGGGACTCTAAGCAGAAGCTTACATTTTAAGTTTAAGTGCCTTGCTAAATCGGGGCCCACATGAATAAGGATTTGCAGAAATGAGCCCTGAGACACGGAGATAAATTTAACCCAAAAGTCCCTCTAGAGTTTTTCCTAATCACTGAAAGCAAGCATTGTTCATTCAGCAATTCAGCTCCGGGTAGTTGCAAATTACCAGGAGCAAGGAAGAGACAGGACATTGCAGTGTATGCAAAGGAGAAAGAAACAAAGAATTAAGTCTGCTGCCAACCATCAGCAATGTCATACTTGTTGTACTGCCAGCATCATTTATCGTAAGCTTAAAATTCAACCCATATTGCTATTGTTAAAATTTAGAAGCTTCAGGGGGTAGCTGAGTTTGTTTGTTCATCCTGTACAGACTAAAACTGGTCGGGTAGCACTTTATAGACTAACAAAACATAGAGATAGTATCATGAGCTTTCAAGGAAGTGGGCTGTGCCCACAAAAGCTCATACCATCTATATGTTTTGCTAGTTGAAGGTCCTTTAGATTCCAAAATATTCCCCTGCCTTTGATTTTAAAAAAATGAGAACTCCACCATGCTGTCAGAGAATTTGATACAAAAATTAAATTTCTAGTGATCAGGTGATTAGAAGCTGGAGTCCTTCTTTTGGGGCTGCAGCATCTAATGCTTACAAGAGAGCAAATTCCCCTGGGTCTATTCCTGGCTCTGCCATTGCCTCCCTGCAGATTTGGGACAGCAACTCCGAAGCTGTTCCTCAGTTCCCCAACAAATTAAAATGGGAGCACCATTCATCTGCCCGCTGGAGAGTGCTGAGAGATTTAGTTACAGAATTAAAAAGTGCTTTGAGATCCTGTAAGAAAAAGGTGCTCTGGAAATAAAATATGTTGTTTCTATCTGAATGCACAAGTTGGCCATATGGGAGACATTAGGATCATACTAAAATAAAATAAAATACAATTGAACAAACTGAGAGGATAATCACATTAAAGACAAACAAAAGCCTGGAAAATAAATACATAAGTAACAACTCTCTGAAAGACCAAGAGGTACTTCCTGGCAGAAAGTCTGAATAGGATAAGATAAAGCATTTCCCAAACAAAGCAAAGCTTGCATCTCCTCATTAAGGCAGGGTTCTGGGATCTGGGCTCTCAGGAAGAGAGGAAGATTTTACAGCATACAGATTAATTGCAGTTTCTAGCACTGCGGCCATTTAGACCTGCTGCAGCAGCCATAATACTTGTAACAATGCAGGACTTACTGTGATATGCTGCTATATTTTAACAAGTCTCCCTGTACATGTCACACCTTAGCCTGATCTAAGCCCCAGGCTGGTGCATGGAAGGTATATGCGCTTACCACAAAGGCAGAGATGGGCAGAGGAATGGAATGGTTTCTTCTCTCTGTTTCAAGGCAAATGCTCTTGATTACCCATGGAGGGAAAGCAGGAGCACTCAAAAACAAGCAAGCAGGCATTAAGGATGCTATGCTGGAAGTACACACTGTGCCTAACTGCTCCAACTGAGCATGTGGAGAGCACATTGGGGGAAGGGAAGAAGAGAGAACATCAGAGTTACTGCTCATCGCCTGCCCAGAAGTTGCTCCCTTAGCTCAAGAACCAGCCTGGTTTTCCTGCCAAAGGACCGAAGTTCAAACCCTGCTGGCAGCCTATGACTGAGCCATCCTGGAACGAGGGCCTGAACTCCCAGAGGGCAGTAAGGCCCCTGCGGCCTAACAAGTAGTTGCCAGTGAGCAGAGCAGAAGGCTCTTGTGCTGGAGCAGTGGATGTGCACAGCTTACCTGTGTACATGTCCCCACAGCCAGGCAGCAGAAGACCAAATCCAAGGAGAAGTCACTGCACTTGGAAGCTGGAACCTGTCTCCGCTAGCACCAGTAGGTGCATGAGACGGAGAATGAGCAACTTCCTCCATCTCCTGAACCTGCTTCCCCCCCTCTCCCACTGTACCAAGCTGTGCCCCCACTTTAAGGGACAGCCTCTGCCCTGCCTTCCAACAGGAACTCCCCTCCCTGCAGCCATCCACTCTGGAATGTGTCCAGTCAGTTCTTTATCATGCAGGCATGTCTCAGCCCTCCCCCCTACCAGCTCCCCTACCTGCTGCCCTGGCTCTGAACTCGTTTAACCAGAAGAGCCAGCAAGGACACTTTAGCTTCTGCAACCTTAGGCAAGAAACTCAACCTCTCTGCCTCAATTTCCTACTTTAGCTTCTGCAACCTTAGGCAAGAAACTCAACCTCTCTGTCTCAATTTCCCCACCAATTAAAATGGGAACACCATTCATCTACCACCTGGGCAGTGTGGAGAGCTTTAATGACAGATCTGCAATGTGCTTTGAGATCCTCTAATAAAAAGGTGTCAGGAATTGCTCTGCTTTTCCCCCCTCTGGATGCACAAGTCTGCCATATGGAAGGCGGAGGATATGCCTGGAATCATACAGTAATTAAAAACATACACACACAAGCTGAGAGGATAATTACAGTAGGGACAGATCAAAGGCCTGGAAAATCGATTCCCAAGTAACAACTCTCTGAAGACTAATAGGAACTTCTTGGAAAGCCTGAATGGGACCAAACATTTCACTAAGAAAGCGAGCGAACCCTGCATCACGTTCCACGCTCCTCCATCCAGGCTTGGTACTACCAGGGCTAAGGGACATTCGCACTCCCCTGCAAGTTATTTTCAAGAGCCCCAAATTACTGTTTGAAAAGGCCAAAGATGCGTTGCTCATGTCCATTCCGCATTAGGGGTGGTGGCTCCCCACAGGCATCAGTGTCAGAGTTTTTCCCCCGGCAGCATCTGTAGGGGAGCAGCTCTGGTGACCCTGGAGTGGTGCAGCATTGGGGTGTTGCACACTCCCCCCACTCTCAGTTTCTTCTGGCTGGAAACACCGACGGTGGGAATAGACATGAGCGACACATCCTGAAGGCCACTGGTGACCAAAACATCACTATCTTTTCTTCTTCGAGTGCTTGCTCAGGTCCGCTCCATACTAGGTGATGACAAGCGGCACCCACGGAGGCAAGTAAGAGTTCATGGCTGACTGCAGAACCTAGCATACTCATCCAAGATGGGATGGACGTGAGCAGCCACTCAAAGAACGGACCCGGTCTCCTTTATCCCACAGAGACAACTCTGGTTTTTGGAGAAAAGACCATTCCAGCTGTAAAAATCTGAGCACATCAGGTACGCTGAGTGGTACAAGGGCTGCCCCAGGCATTGAGCAACTGCAATAGAATTAACACGTGGGAGCATGCTCAAAAGGAAGAAGCCATTGGATTTCTCCCAATCTGATCAGCGAGTTTCCATGCCGAATACTCCCAGCCCATAGGAGGTCCTTCCAAGGGGTGTGTGCACTCACCCCACAGAGTCTCCTCCACACGGCAAACATCCCGAATAGGCCAGTATTTCTCTATCCTCAGGCCCCCAGGGGAAGCCAGGGAGATGGTAAAGGCACTGAACAACAAATGCCTCGATAGAAAGGGAGAGGAAAGGGGAGAAACCCCTGAAGCTGAGCTAAATTTTTCATCCTAAGCTTTCTTTATATGATCAAAAAGCACAGATTTGGCAAGGCCAACTCATTTTGCAAATCTGTGTCAGTTTCACCCAATTGCACATTGTCAGAAAAGGTCAAAAATTTCCCCCAAAAGTCGCAACGTTTTGTGCCAACATTTTCAGAACCTAAGGTTTGGAGTGTCTGAATGCACTTTTTTGTTTGGAAAGTTAATGAAATCATGTTCTGGGTTTTTTGAGTGAAAAACACTCTAAATTCAAATGAAAGGTTCCGTTAACCCCTCATCCCCTGAAAAAAAAAAAACTTCATTTGTTCAGACTGGCCAGTGGGATGAAAAATCTGTTATTCGCTCTGCTCTCCTCCTCTCTGCCCAGCCAGCTGCATTTAGACCCCCACCTCCTGAGATTATATTAATGGTGAATTATACTTTTGATTCAAGGCTATCAAGACCCGCATCAGACCCTTAAGAAACCAATCTTGAGGCTTTCTGCTCAGACACAGTCAAGCCCTGCACTCGCCTCCCTGTGCTGCTTTAAGGGGAGAGTCCCACTGAGACCTGCCACGCAGTGGCTCCAAGCACGTGGCCTGCCTGACACAGCCCTCAGCGCTGGCAAGCTGCAATGTGCCAACAACAGAGCAAACGGCTCCTCCGGAATCACTCTGCCAGCTGAGCAAGAAGTGGGCTCCCCACTGGGCTTCTCTCAGCGGCCTGCCAAAAGGCAGAGCTCTTCAAGCACCGAGCCAGCACCGCCTCCCCTCTGATCTGGGACAGAGACACTCTGCATCTGCCTCCTACCAGGGCTCATTTTGTGCCAGGGCTGGTCAGGCTCCTCGGGGCTGGGCCATGCACGGCTCCAACACCCCTGGGTTTGCAGCATCAGTTAAGAATGCAAAAAAATTGCTTGAGTCCCAGCACCTCCTTCTGTACAAACTAAGCACCGCCTCCTGCCCAAACGAGATGCAGAGCTCGGGGTGAGACCCACAGCTCCTCTGGATCACCGAGCAATGAATCCCCTTGTTTACAGATGGCCACACGCCACCATCTAACACCGCTCATGTGGGTGGACCATGATGCAGCCACCCTACCTACAGAGGACTGGGACTGATTCTCTATCACCAGCAACTGGTAAATCCAGATTAGATGCTTTTCAAAGAGACCTGCTCTAATTCAACAGATCTGAATTCAGGGGAGTCCTCTGGCCTGTGAGATCCATAGAGCCCTACCAGATTCACAGCTGTGAGAAACACATCACCGACCATGGGGCTGGCTGGGAGCTGGGGCAGCGGAGTGGGCTGGATCCAGGTCACTCCACTTCTCACTCCCCAGGGCTGACCCCTGCTGCCTCCCTGCCCTGCTCCTGCCCCTGCCAGCTCCTGTTCCCGCAACCCTTGATTCCGACAAAGGTTGCAGGTGATCAGGATGCAAAGGGCACCAGAACGGTTAGGGACAACTCTGATTCTCTGTGGGGCACCTGGCATTGGCCACTGTCAGAAGACAGGATCCTGGGCTGACTCAGCGTGGCCGTTCTTATGTCACTTGTCTGTTAGAGACCAAGAACCAGGCATTTCTTGCTGCCCTGCATCAGTGCACAGATCAGCAGCTACAGACTCAGCAACTCCACAGCGGCTGATCAGCTCATAAGTCACAGAACGGTACCAGCCTCATGCAACTTCATCCACGACCTCTCCTAGCAGAGAGAGATCTACAAACAGGCTGTCG